TATCTGAAAAGTAAAGGCAGTGAGTGTTCTTCCTGTCGAAAAGATGTCGAACAATACGAATTGTTGATGGCCAATCACTCGTACATTGTGGACGCGTTAATGTAAATGTAATCCGACAATTAACGAATATAAAAAGTAATGCGCGGGATGAATGTGTGGAATAACATTTTCGATTCTTGACTTAATTACATTCCTTTTATCATTAGATCCGCTCTGAATCACTGTAGTAAAAGGATTCTTTTTCAAAATGACAAAAAGCAAATTCCAAACTTTTAAGGAAAATAAAATGTATAAACATTTTCGTTAGGAAATGTCTTAATAAGAATACTACTAAAATTATTAGAAATTCAGTAACTCTCAGGGAAACGCAGTATAAACCACTAGATATATTAATAATAAGTTATGATATTAATATAAAAATACTTAGATGAAATTGAATTTGAAGAAAAGTTAACTCACTCTGTTAAGAAAATTCCAAGACATTCGTTTAAAAAACTAGCTCGCAAGCCGAACGAATAATGAATGCAAAAAGAAATTGGCCCTAATTGATAGTTAACAAACTATCCGGGGACATTCGATTGTTACTGCTAATTTTACAATAACGTATCGTGGATGTTTATATAAATACTGCTCTAAACACAGCCATGATAATTAAAGTATGTTTGGGTTCGTCATCACGGGCACTTCTTTTGCTAGTAAAATTGTTTATTAATTTACACTCATTGCCGTTCATCGTTTTACGGAGCATTCTTATCGATAAGGATAGGTACACCGGATGCGCGATTAATGCTTTCGGAGTGGTAGGAAAATGTCGACGCGCGAATAAAACATATTCGAGGATGTTAAAATTGGTTAATTGAACAACCACATATATCGCCAAAGGTCTCGTTAAATGTACCAAAAGCTTGAATCGGTCACTTTCCTTTGATTAACCTGCGACTTTATCTCTTACACCAATGATCATTAATCGCCTGACTTCGGAGCCGGCCAAGAGATATCACCAAATAACGAATAAAAATTATTACTTAAATATAAAATAAAAAACCATTCTGAGAAACTCCACGCCTCGTTCACGCATCAATCTTTCAGCCGACGATTTTCTCCAGAGAAATATCAAAGTACGAAAGCTCCTTCGAACAAACTCCACCATAAAAGAAAATCCGATTCTTTCATTCATTATTCGTTATTTGTTATTCAATAGGTTTTTCTAATCTTGACATACCGGACACGGTACGTCGAGGTTAAACGTAAACAGCAGCCTTTCTGTTGCATTTTTTGTATAAAAAAAAATAAAAGAAAATATTGTCAAGCAGAATGAAGGAGAAATAAGGTGTCGGCATTGATTTTTGAGGAAAATCGACAAAGTTTCGCGTCAAGTAATTTTTTGTATTAAAAAAAAATATAAAAAAATCAAAGAAAATAATGTCAATCAGAATGAAGGAGAAATAAGGTGTCGGCATTGATTTTTGAGGAAAATCGACAAAGTTTCGCGTCAAGTAAATTCCGACACGCGAGTTCGACCAAGGTCCTTGTATTTTCTTTTACAAGATACGAACACGCGTTTCGTTTTCGTTTCTCATGAAAGGCATTTAACAAGTTTTTGCAACGAAGAACCATTTATACAAAATCCATGGCTCAAAAGTACTCCTACATTTGTATTTCACTGTCTGCACGCCATTCGGATCATTGAATGTGTTTCGCCCGATAATGTAAATAAAAAATCAAGGAAAAGATCTACATAAGAATCTCGTGAACGAGAAATCGTGCAAACGAAAAAAATCGCACAGACGGCTTATCGATACTTTTGACTTTCATCAAAATCTTCTTCTGGGCAAACGCAAGAGAAAAGATACTGCTAACGTCTACCTCGATTGTTGCGTATGTGGCGTGGGTATTATTTACAGAACATAGTAGCATGCATTTAGCGAAAGAAAGAGAGGAACGTTAGGATGACAGAGGCGGAAAGAGAGAGACTGCATACCGTCAGAGAAAGAATGTCAACTTATTGCACTCTTCCTCCTTCCATCCAGTGCTCACTTAACACATTCGCGACCGCTGACGTGAATTCACGTCTTTTCAAGTTCTATTCCTGGTTGCCGATGACGTGAATTCACGTCGTTTTAAATTCTATTCCTGATTACCGCTGACGTGAATCACGTCCTCCTTAGTTGGCTAATTGTTACCCGGCGTGGCGCACAAATTTTATTATTTTTATCCTTGCTTTAACAATACAAATTTGCGGCCAATCAGTTTCAGATTTTCATTATTTTCGCCGGTACTTAGTATTTGAAACGGAAAAAATTTGCTGCTGACGTGAACTCACGTCATTTTAAATTCTATTCCTGATTGCCACTGACGTGAATCACGTCCTGTTTACTTGGCTAACTAATTGTTACCCGGCGTGGCGCACAAATTTTATAATTTTTATCCTTGATTTAACGATACAAATTTTCGGCCGATCAGTTTCAGATTTTCATTATTTTCGCCGGTACTTAGTATTTGAAATGGAAAAAATTTGCCGGTCCGTGAATTAACGTCTTTTCAAGTTCTATTCCTGGTTGCCGCTGACGTGAATTCACGTCGTTTTAAATTCTATTCCTGATTCCCGCTGACGTGAATCACGTCCTGCTTAGTTGGCTAATTGTTACCCGGCGTGGCGCACAAATTTTATTATTTTTATCCTTGATTTAACGATACAAGTTTGCGGCAACCAGTTTCAGAATTTCATTATTTTCGCCGGTACTTAGTATTTGAAACGGAAAAAATTTGCCGCTGACGTGAATTCACGTCTTTTCAAGTTCTATTCCTGATTGCCGCTGACGTGAATCACGTCCTGCTTAGTTGGCCAACTAATTGTTAACCGGCGTGGCGCACAAATTTTATCATTTTTATCCTTCATTTAACGATACAAGTTTGCGGCCAACCAGTTTCAGAATTTCATTATTTTCCCCGGTACTCAGTATTTGAAACGGAAAAAATTTACCGCTGACATGAATCACGTCCTGCTTAGTTGGCTAATTAATTGTCACCCGGCGTGGCGCACAAATTTTATAATTTTTATCCTTGCTTTAACGATACAAGTTTGCGGCAACCAGTTTCAGAATTTCATTATTTTCGCGGGTACTCGGTATTTGAAACAGAAAAAATTTACCGGTCGCGAATGTGTTAACAAAAATTCTCAAAGATAGATCCGTGAATATATTGACAATTGTTTTTGAAAAACTCAAGTCAATTCGAAGCGCATTCAGTCTCTGCACAGTCACGTGAGCCGTATGTCGTGTCGAATGTACTTCATGCATCACACGCATGTACGCATGTACAAGCAAGCATGTACCTCCCTCCACGAGGAAACAAACATGTAACTGCGTGAAAGAGCGACCCAGGGCAACGTGTCCATAACCATGATCAACATTATCCAATCAATCGTCCTTCCTTTTTATACATTTTCTAAAATCATAATTTTAATCAAAGTATCCAACATAATTACGATTTGTAGACTTATAATTCCTGATAGATTACGCTGTCTCGAATAAAGCAATGTCGATCTACATCGGTAAGGGACGTTCATTTTCGACGATATTTACATAAATGACATCACCATGTCGTGGATTAAATTTGCTTTCTGGAATTTCATTTTGTCAATTGATTTAGCTGACACGAGATACGTTACCTCTTCGATTTTTCTTCGCTCAACTATCATAAGACCTATTATTTCTATACAGTACGTGCCGAAATTTAATCCGAAGGTCAGTATTAGACAATCTAAGGTAACGTACAAAATCTACGTTATTACGACAATTGCCATTGTTATTGGAACAGCGTGTATTCCGGTTTCAAAAAGCGTTTCCAAATTTGATCAAGGGCTTTCGTACGGATTAAAAGGTGCGTTCAAAAGAATCAACACGTAACGTAGTAATATTAACATATGTAAGTAATACGTCATGCTAAGTACGGCATCAAAGGTGAAGTAAGTTAAATGGAGATTTATACAAGCACACACCCTTATGGAATTTCGTCGCAACTAATCGTCTACCCAACAGACCTCAAAAAAACGGCTTCTTCGAGTAAAGACGGTCCTTCCTGCACCACGACACAAGTGACCGAGATGCGCATCAAAGAAGTCATTAAATGAATTAATTCACAGATCTATTCCGGGCGAAACGCTCAAACTAAGTTTGCGAAATACGTAGAATATCCTTTATCAGAAATCCCACTTCTCCGAACGCGACCCGCAAACGCTTTTCCCCTAAAGAAAAAGTTCCCATCTCCCCACGACCCTTGGAAAATTGCCACGTGGCGTAACCATAACCATCCATGACGAGTAGTTTCGAAAAATAAAACAACCTGGCAAGAAAGAAATTCCTTCTCCAATACAACATGCACTCGCATTAACAACCAAGCTCGACATCGTTCTACCACCTTGATCTCGGATGAGAGAGACCACGGAAACCAAGTAGCCTAAAGGAGACGATAAGTTGCCATAAGACGATCTAAGCGAGAACTATCGGTTATCAAAACGTGTACCAGAGCAAAATCGAAGTAGCAATGTCTAGTCAGTCTCATTTTCGGCCACAGCGACGTTACGCGGTCTCGATTCGATTCGAGTCGTCCTCCCTTTCCGGCGGCGCCATCGGGAGTCCTGGTAGTGAGGACCGCCGTCGACTGGCGGCGCTGGCGTCGAGTCGCGTCCGCGATCGCGGTCGCTTTCGCGAGGTAGGGATTTACCGGGCCAGCTTACTTACGTGCGGCCACCCTTAGGAGGCGATCTTTCCCGCGGCCACCCTTAGGAGCCGATCTTTCCCGCGGCCACCCTTAGGAGGCGATCTTTCCCGCGGCCACCCTTAGGAGCCGATATTTCCCGCGGTCACCCTTAGGAGCCGATCTTTCCCGCGGCCGTCCCGAGAGGCGCCGCGAATCCTGGCGCCCGTCGACTCGGCCGCGACCGATCTTCGGTGCTCTCCTGATCGCTTGAACACGGGTAGTCAAGAAAACGAGGGGAAAAAGAATTACATTTAGAGTTTACTATGGTACAGAGCACTGGCATAGTCACGTAGTCATAGTTACGAATTAGCGTCGTGCAACACGCGCGTGCGCCGTATATCCTCTCTCTCTCTCTCTCACTTCTCTCGCTTACTTTCTCACGAACGTTCCAAATATTACAATCATACCTCTATGCTCATCCTCGTAGCAGTAATAATGATCAATAAATTTATAATAGGCAGGTAAATTAATAATAATAATTATTATTATCATCATAATAATAGGTATAGTATGTACAGAGCGGTTACGGAAGGGCCCGTTGGAAGCTATGTCGTGCCATAGCTACACATTTTGATTCAACTGTACACGCGGGTCCTTCGATTCAAAAAACTCTTCAAAATTAACACGTCTTATAAATCCTCCCGTACTAGCAAATAGCAGCCTGTCGTGTGTCTAGGTTTGTATGTATGTATGTACGTACGTACGAGGGTGTACGGGGGTGTAGCGGGTGAATTTCTAATTTTTGGTTGCGACCCCACTTTCTTTTTTTCATTTCATTTCTCCTCCTGTCTGCCTCTCGCGTCAAGGGAATAATAATGGCCGAATCACGCACCACCGCAAAACGAGGGTGTGTCTCCTCCTCTCCGAGATTGCTCGGTGACCATCCTCGTCACCGACTTCCGAGTCCCGAGGGAGCCTAAGAGCGCGACCCTGACGGCCTCCGAATTCGATATCCTTAACAAATGGCCTTAAGTTAACGTCACTTAACTTTCGTCTAAATTCTCCTTTCATCCCTTACTTACAATTACAAGGTTGTCTCGGCTCTCCAACGTACCGACCCCTCTTTTCATACAGAGTTCTTTGTTTCGTTTACTATATATCTTTGCGTTTTCTCGATCACGGTGTAATAATAGTGGCAATAATAATTAACTGTATACTTGCTACGGTAGTATTTGAACTATTAATATTAATTAACGTTAAGTATACACAACACATTTGTACGATTTCACTCTTAGCCTGCGCGAGCAGCAGCGAGGCGGGTCGGGGGTCGCAGGGCCGAGGAAACGGGGGACAGGGGGGGGGGTCATTCGGTTTCTTTCGTGCGGACATCGCGAGCGTCCCCACCCGGCCCGACCCGGGGTGGGTCGGTGGGGCCCGGAGGGAGGAGAAGGCCCCGCGGCCGCAACGCCGGCTACCTTCCCGCCGCGCCGGTCCCGCGAGTGGCGCGGCGATCGCTCTCGCGCGACGCTGCGTGACGGACTTTCGAGCTACCCTAGGTTCGTTGGTATCCCAATATCTAGTGGCGCCGGGCGCGATCGACGCCGACCCCGCACTAAATCTCTGTTTCTCTCGTTCTCTCGCATTCACTCTGCTTTCCTCTTACGCTCGCTCACTCTCTCTCTTTCTCTCTCTCTCTCTCTCTTCGAAACTAGGAACGAAGAACGGATGGAAGCTTGTCTTTGCCTTGCCGCAGGCAGTCCGTGTACGCGAGCTCGAGGTCGAGCCCGACCCTGGGGCCGGGCCCCTCGCGGAGGCAGCGGCGGCGAGGCGGCGACGGCGCCGGTCCGGCAGGTAGGTGCCGACGGCGCTCGTCGGCCGTGGCCGAGTCACTTACGTTAACCGACGACGATGACGACGACGACGACGACGACGACGACGACACTAACAGTCACTACAACCCGTCGACGAACTTACAGAGCTGGTCCTGCGGCGTCATGGGCGTCACCTCGCTCGAGTCCGCGCCACTGGCGGGCGGCGGGGCGGGCGAGGGATGGTGGGGCATGGCGGGGGGGTGAGCCGAGGGCGCGCCTCCCGCGCCCCCTAGCTGCGAGAGCATCATCTCGCTGGGCCCGCCGAGCTCGTGGGCCGGCGAATGCGTCGGCGTCCCGTGGCCGGGGTGGTGGTGCGGCGAGGGCACCGGACCTGCCCGGGGCGACGGCACCGGCTGGTTCCGCGGAGACGGCACCGGCCGCGGCGACGGGTTCGGCTGGGGCGACCGGATCGGCGGAGGCGAGCGCACCGACTGCATCAGCTGCTGCTGCACCGAGATCCCCGGCGGACCCATCACTCCCTGCGGCGACGGCACCGGCGGCGGCGTCGGCTTCAGGCCCGGTTGACCGTACCCCTGCTCGCTGAATCCGCCGTAACCTGAGGATGGACCGATTGCCGTCAATTTCGGGGCCCGATACTCGCCGCGAAAATGGGTTGCGTTAGTCTAACTGGGAATCGTTCGCGCCGTAGTTATCGAATTTCGACGCCGTAGTTCTTATCAAATTTATACGCCGTAGTTCCTATCAAATTTATACCCCACGACGGTCACCGGTAACTGACCCGTGGACGTGTTTTAATGCGATACAATTTGCGTGACGTGAACGAAAAGTCTGTAAATTTCGTGGCCCGTGTCGTTGAACGCGTTGAGAACTATTGGCATTACCCCATTGCTTCGCTTTTTGATAACATTTTTTTTTTAATGGTCAATTGGATACAACAACGTAAGTGTAGGTACCACTGCAGCGGGTAGTTTAGTGAAAATAATGTTTAAGTAATAATGTGAAAAATCGCAAAGTTAATTACATGTGCTTTTTAAGCTTTTCGTTGCCCTAAACTTTCACGATTATTTCCTCCGAATAAGGTAGGAATTTGTAAAAATTACAGATTCTGTGTGAACAAGTTTCAGACTTGCGACGAACTAAATGTGTTCTTTGATTCGTGCAACTGTAAAATTCGTACACGACATTGCCGTACCTAAATAAGAATTAACCAAGTCAAAGTATTCCTATTTTTTCTCCCCAGGAATCACGCTCATATTTTACTGCGCACGAGTTCCTAGAAATTCGGTACAGCATTTAGTAAAGCGAAAATCACTCAAAGCGTTGGATGACTTTTCTGAGCCCTTCGATTTAAAATACCGACATTTAAGATCAAGGATTCCATGTTAATAATACCAAGCAGATGTACGGCGAAAAGAAATTGATAGCACCGTTGTTACTTTACTTCTGTACTCATCGTCATAACTTGCTTCCAGTTTCTTCAACTATTTTGATTATTCTAACCATAAATGACTGAATTTGAATCGTCACGTTTACTAAGGCCAACTTAATCTACAATAAGGATTTCAATAAACTATATAGTTACAAATCAACAGGAATATTATGCTCTATAAATTCATCTGTTTTAAATTCCATATTTGTTAAATAAATCATACATCAGTACTTCTCTGTTCACTCATAAACTTCAAATTATAAATTTTGTTTAAGTCGATTAGAATATTCAACATTTTTTAGACGAAGCTTTGCAAAATTAAATAATTCCTGCATTTAATAAATTTCTATTTCGATTCAATTGAACGTTCGAGTAAAGGCAGATCCGCAATGATTACATTTAAAACTTACCAAGGAGAGATGGCCTAATGGGCCTCTGCTGACCATAAGGTGGAGCTGGAGGTTGCGTAAAAGGTTGTTGCTGTTGCTGCTGCTGCTGCTGCTGCTGTTGTTGCTGTTGCTGCTGCTGCTGCTGCTGTTGCCGCTGCATGGCAAGCATTTGCTGTTTATACCATTGCTGCTGCTGGACGCTGGGTCCTTGACCCGCCTGCTGCTGCTGCTGTTGCTGCTGCTGCTGATTTAGCATCGCCTGTATTTGCATTCGACCCTGCTGCTGCTGTTGTTGCTGCTGCTGCTGTTGATGCTGCTGCTGCTGTTGTTGCTGCGACATCATGTGTTGCAAGCCAGGTTGTTGCTGTTGCGGTTGATTAGGACCCAGTGGACCGACGCCACCACCGTGTTGCCCAGTCTGTTGCTCAAGTGAATAAGGTTTGCTCAAGGGAAGTGTTTACAAAAATAATCCCCAACGAAAGCAACGGAAGGCAAAATTCTCAATATTATACATACCTGTCGCTGTTTAATAAACGCGGCCATCAACGGAGGATTGCTCTTGAGTATATGGAGTATTTGGTTTTGCTGCTCAGGAGTGTTTGGACTCCTGAGAGTCTGCATGAGTTGCTGCAAAGCATGCTTGTGTAACGTCGCGGCACCGCCTTGAGCCTGAGGGCCAACCTGACTGACAGGTCCACCAATAACACCCGGTTGACGCGGCATTTGGCCCCCCATCCCCATTCCTGGTTGGGTTTGATGCTGCTGCTGTTGTGGCTGTGGCATCAATTGTTGTGGCGTTTGCTGCCTAAGGCCAGTATTCTGCTGCATTATCGCGTTCGGTTGATACCTACGACACATTAGGGAGTCAGTACAGAGAACGCTAGACTTTAAAAATGTCTATTTAGAAGGTTCTCGAGAAATCATCGAGATGACCCTTACCTGGGCGTCCACTGCTCCATGGAAATGAGATGCGTACTACTGGGATTGGGCATCTGGACGGGCATTGGCCTTTGTATCTGCGGAGGAGGCATGACACCACCAGTCCCTACACCACCGCCAACACCTACGCCCACACCTACGCCGACTCCACCACCAGGCGTAACTTTACCGTAACCCACGTGGGGTGCCTGTTGCCTGGCGGCCTCCTCCTGGACTTGCTTCACGACCTGAAGTACGTGAGCGGGAGGTGTCTGAGTCCCAGGCTTAAGGCCGATACCAGGTTGGTGTGGGGTGCCTGGTTTGAGACCGAGGCCAGGTTGGTCGGTGGCTAGTCCACTGGCACTAACGCCCGGTTTCATAGCTACTCCTGGTGCCATGGCATTCGAAGCCGGTGGACCACCTTGTATCGCCCCCACCGGACCGCCAGTCGGCCTCATATTCATCACAGCCATTCGTCTCCTGAAAACAGAGAATATTTTACGGTTTACAGAATTCATATAAGGCTCCCACTTTTCGCAGCAATCAGGGAGGTTAACGCATTCTACCTCAGGAGTTGCGCTTGTTGCAATCGGTGCTGCAGTTGCTGCTGCTTGAATCTGCGCTTAATATTCGCGCAAAAAGGTACAAGACACTTGCCCTCCTGGCAGTGTTTCGCGTGGTAATAGCACAGGGCTATCAACTGCTTACAAATTGGACATACAACGTTGGTCTTTCTTTTACAGACATTCGTGTGCGTGACCACGCGTTTCATCCTCTGGCAGCTAGGCAGTCGACAGTTAGCATCTCTACATTGGCACGCATGTACCAACGACTGAATGCATCTCTGTATCGACAGTTTTCGCGCCTCCTGTTTGGACAAAGGCATAACAATAGTCACAATCATGTCATGAGGGTTTCAATATTATTTTAAGTTAGTTTATTAGCTCGACGTTCATACCTGAGGGTTGGCTTGTTTGGCATCGGCCGGCGATGAACCATCATCCAAGTCTAATCCAAGTTTCTCCATGTGATGAGGATGACCGTCTTTTTCTTTGCAATTTACACACAAGTCAAAATCCTAGAAACAGGCAATTGCAGAATTTACAATCGGAATAAACGTGTTGGTTAAATGGAGGTGCGTTTAGTTAAGAATAAAATCTGCAACTTACATCACAAACAGTACAATGATATCTCGTCTCCACTTGGCTTTTACAGTTATTACAACTGTAAACGAATTTATCTTGGCCCTGGTTGTGCAATTCGTACAACATTGACATGGAACTGAATTTCGCTCGCCTCAAAGAAGAAAACTCGTAATGCCTCTCTCTGGCCATTGTAAGAAAAGCGTCGCGGCCGTCCATGAGATCACAATTTATAGCAGGATCAGGATCTTGAATCGGCTAATAAAAAGAATAGTAATACAATGATACAATCCACCCAGGACAATTATCTCTATTTCAAATAAAAAAACGTATACATACTGCTAAGCTCGCTGCGCTTTGAGCACTGTGTAACCTGATGACAAAGAAAACCTCCTTATGCTTCTCCATAGTGGCAAAAATCTTAGCTGAAAGGTCATTGCCAGTTTGAGGTGTATTCGACTTTTTACTATTTTTGCGCTGATTCGCTTTAGACTTATTTGATTTTTTCGCTTTCTTTTGTCCCTTCTTCTTTCCATCAGGACCCGTCTCCGAATCTTCGGACAATGAGAATATCTAGAAAGAAAGAATTAAAAATTACGTAATTGCTCGATCAATTAAAGCCTCCGTCATACTTATCGAATTATAAACAGAAACTTACTGCATTAGCAGCAGCCGCAGCAGCTTCCGCTGCTTCGGCTTGCTTACGCTTCTCTTCCTCCTCTTGGTCAAGCTCTTTAATACTCTCTTCAAGTACATTAGGCCAAAAATCGCCTTCAAAATATGGCAAGTCTGCAGCTGAAGATAATTTATCTTCCATAGCTTGTTTCAAGATGTCCTGCAAAAATATGCGATATCAGTCAGGTAGTCATTATTTGACCAAAATATGTAATGAAACAAATTACAGTACGATAAATATAGATTATCAAAAATCGATAACTGGAATTAACATTAATCCAGGGGTTGTAACCCAATTAATCCTGTGTTCTGGTTTATATAATAAAATAAGAACACTAGCTTGTTTAGGTCTTACTTTAAGTCTCATCTGACACCCAAGAGCAATCATTCACTCCCAAGGAACACTGAGACTATTCGTGCGGACTTTCGAGAATAACAAAAAAAACCTTCGACCCGCACCACGATAGAACTGAGTAACAAAATACATAAGCTAGCAAATACTAGTACTCAGTCTAATAAACGTAACTACCTTGTAGTCGAGTACAATTCTCTCCACCATGCCTTTGTCCAGCATTTTCTTGTACCACTCTTGTAACCTCTTCGGTTTTGGAATTTTCTGTTCCTGGGGATGACAATGGAAAATATAGTCGTCCCCTTCCGATGGTGGACAAGCCCATATGTGAGCCATCGTGTACCTAGAAAAAAAAATATATAAAAATACACGCTCAATTAGCCGATTTTCGTAACGAACACCGGATTAGTAATTACTCGTGCTTTCAAAGCCGTAGGCACGCATGTCTTACCCAAGTTGTTTCGCATAATCCAGGTATCCCAGGAGAATCTCATGATAAACGGCAGTCCGAAATTGCCGTGGTCTGAAGAAGTGCACCGAATCGAGATAAGCGATGTAAACTCGCCTGGTATTCGGCGCCGTACAGTCGCTTCCGTACTCCTGCACGTGCATGCCGAAGAAGCACACGTCGGTACCGTCGACTTCCTCGAAGGCGAACAGTGCTTTCGCCCGATAGGGAAATTCACCGGGCATGTCGCCGTTTTCAACGAATCTACTCCGCATGCCAGGTTTCACTTCCACGACCTTGTCGCTAGAAGCTACCACCCTGATAGCGACTTCACCAGCGCCAGCCTCTTTCTTTTTCAGGAAATTATTTACGCGAGTCTCGATGTAAGTGCCCAGTTTCGTCATGGGTAGCCGTTTAGCGTTAAACTTATTTTCTTTACGTTTTTGGCATTTTTTCTTCAGGCAGTTATCACAGGTAAATCTGTGGGAAGGTCGACGATTTCATGTAAACAAACTTTCAAACTTTCTCTACACTGTTACACGTGGAGTTGACACTTTCACTCACCCTAGCGGAGAGATAGCTTCCATGTGGAGCACGCAGATTTGGTGGACCTTCCTACCGCAATCGGTACACACGACGAAAGGCTCCAATTCCAAATGATCGTTCTTCATCTCCTGGAATTGCTCCTTCTTAATGGCACTAAAAGCAAGGAGTTAGTTAAATCTAAGCTGTCGGTTCTACTGTTTACAAAATTCTCCTCGGGTGCAAAAACACCACATTTTGTTTGGGACATAAAATGATTTTGGCCCGACAATAGCAGAGCCTTAAATTATAATTAAAACTGATAGCGATAAAGGAGAAGTCAGTAAACCAACTTACGTTTGAGGCTGCGTTGGATCGTCTCCTAACGTCACGGTGTCACCGGGAATGTCGTTGAAACATTTCTGACAGAAGGTGTATCTGTCGGACACAAGACCATATGTCTTTAGACTAGTTTTTTTCAACAGCACATATACATCCGAATTTCATTAGCCAATTCGCCAATTTGTCACGCGTGTATAGTACGTGAGTCCAGTGCATCGTGTCCAATTTTTCATGTCCCAATGGATCGTGTTCCGCGTGTTGATCGGCCAATTATGAAAGTAGGATTTGTATTCATGCATTACATGTTTCGTTTTGTTTATTTCGTCAATCGATCGTTTCGCATCCGGTATTTTCAATCATTTCAAAGTAAGGGTCCATTGGAGCGATTTCATCGTTCGTTTTCGACGGACGTGTGACGTTCTCATTGCGACACACGTGTGATTTTTTATTTTTTTTTTTTGCCAATTGCCAGTATTATTTGCAATAAACGGTGTTTATTGAGTTTAAACGCCGAGTTTTCCAATATTAGTCGTCCAGTATCCGAGAATCAATTTTCATTTTATGGAGCAGTGGAGTTGAAAAGAAGCAAGAGGCACGGGCAACACAAGAAGCAAGCGGCAAACAAGGATTTGTGTGTGCATTATCCACGGTAGAGCGGAGAGAACATACAAAGAAGAGAACAGTACCATATGTTAGAAACAATTATTATCTAGGCATCTTTAAGAGAATGGCATTGCACATACCCGAGATTTAGGCCAAAAAACCGATTCAGTATAGTCATTATTAAGATATGTAATTAAATTATATAAACCGTTGACTCCCTTTTCAATATATTGATTTTTCATAGATTAATTTCCATACGTTTGTTCACAAAAATCAATTAACAACGCAGGAGCTGCATTTGGGAATTGAAGATAAAAACTAAACGGATCAATGGCCAAAATGAATAGTTCTTCGAGTATATGCATAGTTAGGTATACGCCTAGAATTTGTAAGATCTAGTAAAATAGTAAACTAAAAGTTTTATGGAATCCAACTATACAGGGTGGGGGAAAAAGTTCCCAAAACGTCCTCAAACGTTTTAAGATCAAACATTATACGGACACTTTTGAACCACCCTGTATTGAAAGAATAGAGTAACTGAACCACGAGACTTATTTCCATTGTGTGAAAAAGTGGCAATATTTCTTGTTGGATAGGGGACTGGCCTGAATCGACTGTAAAGTCAAATCAGGTTAATTAACCTTCCTATTAATATCGCGTAGTCAGGTACGAATTGCTGCCACAAAGATCAGCTCCGATAAAATGACTACGCCACGATTGTTTTACTGGTGGTTCAGTTATTGAAATCCATAATTTCTCCGTCCCAATTGAATTATTAATACCAATAAAGAATAATCCTTAAGAAAAACATACCGATTACTTTAGTCAGTCGCAGGCAGTAATTGATTATCGAATGAAATTAATAAAAAAAAAAAATACATATTTCATGTACCAGGACCTCACCGCGACTTATAGCATATGTAAACACTACAGTATAACCCCAAACATGCACTCTGTACTAATGTAGGAGAAATTATATTCTATAAAAGTTAGGAAAATGTAATTCATTAATAAACTGACCTATTCTGGTAAGAATAATACTTTGCATCTCTGGGAATCGTACATAATTGCTTCCCATAACAGCAGAGAACTTGAGGATTAAAGGTGTACTTTCTGCCACAACAGTATCCTAAAGCTTGCATAACAGGATCTATTTCCCGTTCGAAGACCTCGGACAGCTGTAAACCACAAATCACAACACGTCTCGTAAAATAGTTACAAAAACGGTATAAACTGCCGGTAGAATCGGAGATTTCTCGAAAAGTACCCTCACCTTAGTACAGCACTTGTAAACCTTTGACATCTTACGATTGTACAGCCAAGCATTGTCAAACATCATCCATACGTCGTCGACGTATTCCCATGGATCGCTATACTGACCCGTGTCCAGCTTTCTTTTAATCGTCGACAAATCCATCGGCTTCTTAATAATGTCAAAATAATCCGGAATCCCCAAAGTAAGGGGGTCAACGGGCTGTCTGAACGGTATGGATTCCGGGTCTTGTCTATAGAGTTTTTCCAACGTTGGCATAAGAGCTTGTCTCAACTCATCCGGCTTAAATAGGCACAGGCGTTTCTTGTCCGTCGTAGTTCCACTCGGCTGAATAGGCTCGGGGACCATAGGTTTGACATCCGAGGACGTGTCCTGGCTGGACGTGGGAGTAACGGGTTCCTCCTTGATGCAGGGCTCTTCTTTTACCGTCCCGTCCCCGGACTCCTCCATGGATTCCGTCTTAATCTCATTTTTAATGGCCACGTCGTTATTGACGCTCTTGCCTCCGTCCATGGTGTGACCATCGGAACAGTCTTCTTGTTTAATCTCCATCTTGATATTTTCCTCCTTGATAGATTCCAACTTCCCCTTGTTGTTATTGGTGGGTGGACTAGGCGAGTTATCACGGTCCAAGGCCGCAGTGATCGCAGCCATCTGCGAGGACATCGAAGAACTTCTGGGTGCGTTGAGTGCCGCTCTTTCCTGGGACGTCATGCCTTTCCCTAAGCTGGCTAGTCCCGCCGGTGAAGGGGTCGCCACAGGTCGCGGAGGAGTCTGATTGGCGGAGATAGTCTGATTGGGTGTCATCAGTGAAGGAACTAGAGGAGTATTCGGAGTGGATGTCGTGGATTGAGGTCCGTTCGTCGTCGGCGCCGTTCCCGGACTGGGACCACTCGCCGTTGGTAGAGGTATGGCCTGCGGCGTCGTTGCAGTGATACCGTTGTCGCTAGGAGTAGAAGCAGACAGAGGCCTACTCGTAGGGAATTGCTGATTTTGCTGCTGGCTGTTCTGCTGCTGCAATCCACTGAAAGGAGATGGCGCTTGAGGCATAACCGCCGAGGTAGCACTTTGGCTAGGAGTATTTGCAGATTGTTGAGAGGCCTGTTGCTGCTGTTGTTGCTGCTGCTGTTGCTGCTGGGCTGCCTGAGCTTGTGCTAGTCTCACCTTCATGATATCAGGGAATTGATGTTGAGTCTGTACAGGGGAGCTGTTCGGTACACCGGAGGTTCCGTTGGACGTTGGGAATTGACTAGTTGTCACTGATGTCGTTGTTGTCAAATTAGTTTGCGACATTTGTGGTTGTCCAAAAGGACTGAGACCAGGATTCGGTACCATGTTCGGATTGGACGTCGTCTGACCGTTCGGACTTGGTCCAGGTGGCCCGACTAACATTCCTTGTTGCTGTTGTTGTGCCTGCTGTTGTTGGGCTTGCTGCTGCTGTTGCTGCTGCTGAGCCTGTTGCTGTTGGGCTTGCTGTTGCGCCTGCTGTTGCTGAGCCTGCTGTTGCTGCTGTTGTTGCTGTATTTGCTGTTGCGTCTGCGGAACTTGTTGAGCCTGCTGCGGAGGTTGCTGCGGAGGTTGTGGCGGTTGTTGCGGCTGAGGTTGTTGTTGAGGAAACTGCAGCCTGCTATGCTGTATACCCATGTTTAAAGTTCCTAACTGGCCCATACTGGGTGAATGGCTTCTCAAAATAGGTGGAACTGTTCCAACAGGTCTTGACGGAGGAACGGTCGCACTTACACCGGGTGGAGCACAAGGCCTCAAACCAGGACCGTTTCCTCCTGGAGGTTGTGGCTGTTGTTGTTGCTGTGCTTGCACTTGTTGTTCTTTACGCTTTTGGCGCTTTTCGTCTGTTTAAATGAAACAAATATTGTATAATTCATATCGAATTAATAATACAGAATGCAAAATATTGTTTCTATTAGAATAACTCACCGAGTTCTTTTTGGATTTTATATATCTTTTCAGCTAACAAGTGGTAATACTCTGATCGCGAGTTAGCCATCTCATACATATCGCCCTCGACTTTTTTCGCATATGCTACCAAGTTATGCATCCTTTTGTCAAGCATGGCTTGTGGATCAGGCGTTGGGAATATTGATTGAACCCTAAAATAAAAGAAGCATGTACCCCTCGTGTTCCTCAGGCAATTTATTACTATAATTCATGGAACGCAAAATGTAATGTTGAAAATCCTACAAAGGATATATTTATGGTAAGCGAAAATAGAACATCGACTTACAGCTTATAAACAAGATGATTTCTGAGATCTGGCGTCACAGACTGATGCCAGTCTTTCGTTCCCTGAACAGGTGTTGCCGTCACTTGCCCGGGTTGTAGGCCTCCTGGGAATTGTAGAGTAGATAACCTATTTTCTCCCAAAATTCCGGGTTGACCAGAATCGTTGAGACCAAATAGTTGCTGCATACTGACTGACTGCTGAATATTCGCAGCAGCGGCTGCTGCAGCAGCAGTCGGACCAGTGGTTGGTGCAGTTTGATTACCGGCTCCGGCCACCGCACTTGGATCGGAGCTCAGTGGAAGAGACACATTTGGTGCAACTACTTGTTGACCAGCACCAACAACTGGTTGCGTAGGTCCAGCTGCAGAAGAGCACAACATTTGAGCGACTACTTATAAGATACGTTCTCGCCGAAGAGCACAAATTTTTCAAATACATACTTTGAGTCTGAGGTTGAGCCAATCGAACGTTTGCCATTGACCCTGGTGGTCCTTGCATTCCAGGTCCAGTCATTCTCACACCTCTACTTACTCCTTGTCCCGGTAATAAGCCAGGAGTAGTCGTTGGACATTGAATACCTAAGGCATCGTATGCTCTCCTCATGTCTGATGGACTTGGGTTAGGTTGATTGTTAGTTTGAGTTGCCGGCGCTGCTGGTAAGAGGGCAAAATTATCGGTAATTAAAGCTGGCAAAAACCGAACACGGAGTTCATCACGACTATAATGAAACCACATAAAATTTACCTCCAATAGCGTTTGCGGCTCTGTTCTTGTCGGCATGTTTCAGCGGCAAGCACACTGGGCAGTCACTCCGCGTACAGTGCCTCCAATGATTGATGATTTGTCTGGATGAACTACAGTGCGGTACCCCGCAATTTTTTCCTGCCTGACATGTCGTCATATGATGTAAAACGTTCTTGATAGTTTTGCAATGTGGCAGGGTACATTGCCGAACTTCGCCGTTCGTTTGATTTTTGCGTATCTGACATCTGTGTGCATGAAGGAGAAGGATGAGCTGCTGCTGGATCAGCTTTCGCTGTTCCGGATCTACCGTTGGCGGAGGAGCACCTAAAAACAAACGACATTACTTAATATGTACATACAACTATAAATTAAACTTAACCAAATCTTATCGTGTCATCCGTTATACCTGGCTGAGCACCGGTTCCAGGCATTTGACTTTGAGTCGCTTGTTGAGGTCCTGGTTGTCCTCCACTAGGTGCGCCGGACTGGGGTTGGGCAGGACTTGGTGCCGGTGTTTGCGCTTGTTGCGCCATTCCACCTTCCTGATTGCCGACTACGTTGGTAGATCCAATAGGTCCTGCCGATCCACCGAATCTATTAACCTGCATTGACGTCATGTTCGTTCCGACTCCTCTTGGCTGCGGCGACACTACACCAACAGGATTATTATTGCCAACGTTAACTCCGGGGCCTGGTCCTGGTCCACTGCCTGGAGAACCTAAGACGTATTTTTAAACCCGTCACAGAGTATACTCAAAGACCTTCGAGTATAAATTGTGGAAATTCCGGACAGTTGTCGACGAACTAACGAAAGCTGTTCACTTACCATATCCATAGGAACTAGAAGCACTCATTTGTCCCATGTTGGGCATATTCGCCATATTAGGAGGTGCTTGCATCCTTGGGCCCCACTGTCCAGGACCGACGATTCCAACTTGGTGAACTTGTTGGTGCGGGCTCTGACCACGTGTCGGTCCTACCATATGAGCCTGCTGCTGTTGCTGAATAGCGACCGCTGTCGCGTTAATCATTCCAGGACCATTTTGCGTCTGCGCGACCCCGTGCGGTCCGGTAGGATGGTGTATGCCTTGTGCATTTGGACCCATCATCGTAACCTAAAGTCAACACAATAAAAACTAAATTAAACTTTTCGCCTTTTGATTATCATATTACTAATTATGTACGACATTCATTCCTCGTTTCGTTACAACATAAATTCAATATACTGCAATTTTCGTTTTCAGAAGCCTTAAAATAAGTCGAACTCGGAGAACTTCGATAAAAGTCATTTAGCATACACCATTTGCGTAGGTAACACAGTATATAAAAATGAGCGTACCGTATTCAATGGTTGTTTGTTTAGACTATTGGCGACAATTAAACCACCCCCGGCCATGCCTCCCATATTATTGTTCCCTGTAGCGCTCCCAGTCATCACAAGGCCAGAATTCATTCCTCCTGGCATTGACATTGTAGGATTACTGCCGGCCATGCTCATAGACGATTGAAGCCCTCCCATAGAATTAGCGATTGACATTTGATTGTTTGCGAGAGAGCTGGCTATGCTGCTGGGTAGACTGCCAAGACTGACCACCATCTGAGAGTCGACCACTCCTTTCGAGACCGACACGTTAGGAGGTGACTGCAAGTTCGGACTCTTGCTGCCCAGAGAACCAGCCGCCATGACCAATGAATTTGCGACCAGGTTCTTGTTACCCTGTCCGAACACATAAAAAATACATTAAAAGACGTTTCTCACTCCGGGCACTAATGGCATGCTAAAATACTAGCTGCATACCTGCTGCTGAATGAGGTGGTGAGACAATTGCTGTTGCTGCTGCACGTGCTGCCGTAGCTCCGAGTCGAGAGCGCCGTTCTGTTGACCCGACCCTGGTCCCGTCCCCGACGGTTTGGCGCTCTCAGGTGCAGAGCCCCAAGACCCCGATGACAGTAAGTCGTCAGGAAGATCATTTTCAAGATCAAACATATCCGTGTTCGTAATGTAATCTAAGAACACATTGTAGAATTAGTTAAACCACTCTTAGTCGTGCGTTAAATATGATAAAGAGAGGATGAATTATATATATATTTTTTCTTTAAGTTGGTCGACATCTCTATACCGACATTCCTTCACGTATAAAAAATCAAATCAAAAAGGAATGCAAACAGTTTATCCTTTATCGTACACACTGAATAGGAGGTAACTCCTTTGCCGAGGAATAATTACCAGTGAAAAAGACGGCATTGTTAATGCGACACCCTTAACCCGAGAAGGATGGCACGTTCCTCGCAAAGACTAAACACCAAGAGGCAGAGCACTGGGTGCCTCTTACAAAGTGTTAGTACCTTTCGGTTAAAAGCGCCTTCGAGTTGCGTTATAAAAAAAATATGCCGATATTTCTCTCATCCCATTCGGCAAAAAGAGGGCATATTTCATCCTCACTCGGAAGTTACCTCGCGATGACACTTATAATAATGCATGATATACCAAAGATACCAGAAATACTGTTAGTACATTTATGAAGGTATGGGTAGTACCGTCACCGTAGCTACGATTCGAAACGTGTTTCATTTTCCTTTCCTACTATTAATGGCTACCATTGTACAGTATCGCTGTAGCGTTCAAACTACCCGCACCAATTTTCTTGTATACAAACTCGCGTGGGCAAAATCTCAATTTTCAAAAAGTTTAACCTTTTTGGCGAACTTCCATGACCGACCATGTATCGACCGATACAGAAGAGGGGTAGATATGCGGAGTAAAACAAATACAAAAAGGTCCTACTGGTGACACTATGTAAATATATTATATANAAATAAGACATGAGACATACACCGCATGAGCAAAACTTAACGGAGCTTACATCTACTATTGTGTAAAAAAAGAAGGAAAAAAAAAAGAAAAAACATCTCACAATAAACTCGTGCTTAACTACAGAAGCAGCAAAAGCTACTGACGGCAAACCGGATAGAATATCATGCTCAGAAGATCAAGAATAAATGTATCCCGCAAGATTTTCAACTAAGGGTGAATTACATAAAAAAAACCGAGCGTTAACGTCCGTTTGCGCAGGACCGAAAAATCAGAGAATCGGCAAGAACAAAAAGGTTCTCCGTAACGACGGATATAGATTAAGGTCTGCGCAATTAAAATTCGACAGTCCTCTAAGGACCTCTTAAACTGTGGATAATAATTACACTAAACATCCGCAGATTTTTTCGCGGATAACCCTGTCTCTTGGCTGCCCACATCCGAGGGTTCCTACGCCCCTTCCCTCAAAGTCACGAATTATCCGTCGAACTCTAGACCAAGCCTTTTAGTTAACGATTCCGTGTTATTAATACCATAATTACATACCGATATCTCCTCGACACAGGCGAGTCTCACGGTGGGACCCAAACATGCGATTCCCCCTGGTTACTCTCTCCCTGCATGTAAACCGTCAGAGCTCGGTGCATGTGTGTCGCATGTCTGTTATTTAGTACAAAAGTGGGCATCTTTTCCTACTAGCCGGAAACTAAGCAGGAATCAACATCACGGAGGGTTCTCATTGTAACATCAAGTTTGGACGCCAACTTTTACTTATGGCCGGTTAAATTCCCGCTTCGCGAAAGGCGCCGCGATACGGACCGAGGGAGAAAAACGAATCGCCCGAACTCCACGAGTAGGAGTAATTTTTTCTTTTCTTTTTTTTTTTCCCCCTTAATTTTTCTCCTCACCCGGCGACGTTCTGGATAGTCGAGACTCTGGGAAAATCGCGCGAGGGGAACCGAGGAGAACGGGAAAAAAAAAAATATATAAAACGCAAGAAAGGACGAGGTGATTCCCTGCATTTTCGGCGGCAAAAACCGACGGCTCGGAAATCGATGAATGATGGACGGACGGGCGAACGGATCTTTGGCAGTGCTCGAATGTCGAATTCTTTTGCATTTCTGCTTTTGATAATATTTACTTTTTTTCTGGGCGGTATGGTTGTTCCAGTGTGGCTGCAGCTGATGCTGTTGCAGATGTAGCTGTTGTGGCGGGCCTTGCATTTGTTGTACGTTACCACTGCCACCTCCCCCGTAGTTTGTATAAGCATGGTGCATCATTAGAGGCGCCATACCCACTACATATATCACAGTTCATGATTTAAGATTGCGGAAGGACTTCCTAGGTTTCTCTCAGAATGTAGCAGCTAAGTTGCAGAAACGGCCCCTCCGAAAGCTAACAAACAACCTCCGTGTAATGTGTAATTATTCGCTGTCTCAGGTTGATCTATTTCTTTTTCCTTTTCCCTATATCATTTTCCGTTCGCGCGGTGTCTTTCCTTTTTGGTCCCAGAACCTAGTCTCTAATAAATACCCAAACTAGCCCGAATCGCGGTTTTGTTTTCTAGTCCTGTGGCTTTTCAACCTACGCCATACTAAAGCCTGAGATTCCTTCTGCATTGGGCAAAATTTGCATTACGTTTAGAAATTACGCTTTTACTTAGGTACACTCTCCAATGTGTTACGGTTACTCATGCTATCGACCGTTTTTTAATTACCTGCCCACCGCAACTACTAGTCGGCTTATGTAAAAAACAAAAAGGAAGACGGAAAGAACCAAACAAACAAACAAATGGCGTAAAGGAAAACGTATGCAAGGAAAGCAGTTTTTGTTTCTGCAACTTGGTTGCACTCTGATGTAAGCTACATTGTAAACCAGCGAACGATCAAACCAAAAGGAACGAAGATGCATCTCTATCCGTACTTGAGAACGTATACCTAGATTCTTGCAAGAGTTTGACGAAGCTTTCGCAACCAAAGGGATACAGTCGAATGAAATGCACTGGGGGACGTAATAATACAAAAACTTATCGATGCTTAGCACATGCGATCAAAATGGTTCTCTCATATCTATGAAACATTCATGCATCCGGCGTGCGTTGCAAATGTTAAAACTACAGAGAGAATGATAGAGAATGTATGATATATAATGTATAAGAAAAAAAAATATATATGTATATTAAAGGGGAGAAGAAACATGCAAGTAAAGAACAGTGGAATGTATCTACAGAACGAATGGTCAGTCTTGAAAGACCAAAATTACATATTCCAAAGCATGATTCGCTTGGGTGATTTCGAACCTCCGAGCAAGTTATTTACCTGAAACGACAAGAAATTCTGATCAACTGACTCGTCAATGGAGAGACGTAAAAACATCATTTAAGTAAGTTTGAAGTAACGTTAAGAAACTATGACATACGAGAGATCGCCGTACTCGGATGACCCATGTAAGCAATTTTAGCTTTCATGAAAAGTTCACAATATAAAGTATGATCTAACCTATGAATCGACAAAGTGCATTACGCATATTCGATGTTGATTTTGGGAAGTAGCGACACGCGCAACAAATCCTAGAAGACGAAATAACAATAGCCCGATTAGTTTTTTGAAGCACAGTATTTGGTAACGCTTCATAATTCATTTTCACACACTTTGCATATCTTTAACACGTCGTCTCTACTTTGATAAGTAACAGTGAGGTTAATTACGTTAACGGACGTATCAAAATAAAAAACATTCATACATTTTATATCCTCACAACTCCGAGGGAAATGTACATTTTAACGCTTTTCAACCTAAGCACGTCAAAATCTAAGAAACTTTCTATCATACAAATCTTTGGATCTATTTTGACGAGGCTAAACGACATCCGTTAGAATAAACCACGACAAGATACAATAATTTCTGAAAATAGGCATCGAACGTGCCATAAGCTATCTCTAATAACGGACGATCGAAGCTTTCGAGTATTCGAAAGACATTCAAAGCGATGCACGCAAGAGGCACGAACCGACTGGAGCACGATCGCATGAAACTTAGAGAAACGATCGATCCACCAAAGAGTAACCGCACAGGTGGAAAGAAGTCGAAGCAAGGTACAATTTGGAGGGCTTCCCGCCGTCCTCGAAGGCAGAAGACGGAACAGCCGACGCTCGGAAGGCCTCTCCGATGGAAGAAGGGAGGCTGGACGACGACTTTGGAGGTGAAACTGCTCGGAGGCTCGCATCAACGAAACGGGCAGAGAAACACGGCTCGGACGACTCCGGGGCAGCGCTGAAGGGGCCCGAGCTCCCGGGCGAACTTACCCGAGGAGTCCGAGGGCCCCTGGAAGGGGTCGGCGAGCTTGGGCCGCTTGCTCGGCGGGCCGTCCACCAGGTGGTCGGCCATGGCTCCTGGGGCTGGCTCCTCTCCCCGAGGTGTCCCCTGGTCTCTGCGTGGAGAGCGGGCGCTCAGCCTTGTGCGCGCCTTCCTCGAGCGCTCAGAGCGGTCCCGGCTCGACGGCGGGGCGATAGCTTACGGATTTCGAATTGGGGTCCGCGTAGTCGGGCATAATAACAATAAGGAGAGACTTGGCGCGTGGAGCGTCCCCGAGCACGCTTCGGGCCGCGATCAACCATCGGGCATCGTCGGGGTAGGACCCCGCGCTCGGCGAGCCCGCGGGGGCCCGCGCGGGTACGACGTAGGGCGCACGGTTCCGCACGGCTCCGCACGGCACGACACGACACGACACGACACAGGGCTCGGCGCTTGTCAGGTCCCCGCTCGGGCGGACGGGCCAGGAGGCGGGCTCGCGTGCGCGCGCGGCCGACCCGGTCTCCGGATATCGGCCCGGGGCCCGCACCGGGTCCCGCACCAGGTCCCGCACCAGTTCTCGCCCCGGGTACCGCGGCGCGAGGACCCACCGTCGACACGGACACGGAGGGACACGCGACGAGCCGCGGCGCCGCTCCGTCAAAACCCCGAGGTGACGGACTGGCTGCGCGCACGGCGCTACCTCGCGGCGACGGTATCGCTCGAGAGGCTCGCTGGCACCATCTTCCTCCTTCTCGAGTTGGCTGCCACTCGCGGAGACGGCCGCGCGAAATGACCGCGCGCGAGGACGGCCCGCCTTCCCCGCACCAAAGTGCAGAGGCGGACGCGAGGCCGCGAACGCGATCGAATCAACCGGGCTCAGGCCGAGCACCGCGCGCCACAGAAATTCGCGAAGGAAGCGATCGCGCGAAGGTTCCGCACCGCACGAGTATCGGCTCACGTAAAATGGCGGCTGCTGTTGATGAGAAGTTTTTATACGCTTGTCAGAAAATGTCCGACTGGCTCGAGACGGCGCCCGTCGCTCCAGCCCGGCCTCCCCATTGGTCGGCCGAGTCACGTGACCCCGCCGCGGGCTCCGATTGGCCGGCGCGCCGTGAGCCACCAACGCCGTGGCTACGGTCACGCCGCCGGCCTTGCAGCGCCGTGGCGACCCCCCGCTCCTCGACCCGCCGCCGTCGCTCGGTCGCTGCCGTACAAACTTGCTGCCGCATTACCAGCATTGCCGGCGCGCGGCCACGTCCGGGCGCGTCGACCCGCACGGCGCCGTCCCCGACGATCTCCGGCTCGCGACTGCGTCTTCCTCGGGGAGTGCGACTCGTTCGTTCCGTGACGCGCGCTCCCGCAGCCCTTAGGATCTCCCGGCGCCTTGCCTCTCTCTGCTCGGAATTAAAACCGCAACGATGACGCTCTCTCGGGGCGTTGGGATCCTCCGGACGCCCGGACGTGAAAAAGTTCCAGTGCCGCCGAAACGTAGGGTCGACGCTATCGATCACGAAATCGGATGATTCCGTTACTTTCCCCTACCTTGTATCGACGCCACGAGTCCTGGCTGCTCCCCGACTCGACCGTGGGTCGTCTCTCGGATCTCGCGGAAAAGTGTCGCGGAGTCGGTTTGACCGCTACTCGTAAAATTACATTTCAAAGAAAAGTGATAGAGCAGTCACCCCGAAGCGGTGCAGAGCTCTTTGGCGAAACAAACGTCGCCCCGACGTTCGGGACACGCATCGCGGAACGTATCCCGCTACAAAGTAGCGCGGTCGGTAGATAAACGCGGTCGCGCGTGGCAACAAAACGCCTTGCCAATCCGCGTCTCGCCGAAGGCGGCAAGGTGAGCAGTGCCGTACCTACGTCCGTATACGTATTATATTTTCTCAATGATTTGTCTTTAACGAGAGTTCGGAAGTTTTGAACTCCCGTAAAGGGTGTTATTTCGTAGTCTTTCAAGAATTTTTAGATCGAAAGTAGCGAAGAAATTTTATTATTTCTGCAAACGTTGCCTAATTTTTATCGGTATTGTATTTTCTCAAAGATTTGTCTTTTACGAGAGTTCGAACGTTTTGAACTCCCGTAAAGGGCGTTATTTCGTAGTCTTTCAAGAATTTTTAGATCTAAAGTAGCGAAGGACTTTTCTTATTTCTACAAACGCAACTTGATTTTTATCTGCATTGTATTTTATTATATTGTATTTTCTCAAAGATTTGTCTTTAACGAGAGTTCAAACGTTTTGAACTCCCGTAAAGAGTGTTATTTCGTAGTCTTACAAGAATTTTTAGATCGAAAGTAGCGAAGAACTTTTCTTATTTCTACAAATGCTGCTTGATTTTTATCAGTTGCATTGAATTTTCTGAATTTTTTTAGGTAGTCTGATAATACCTTGAGATTACTCGCAAAAGTAAATGCCGCATTAACCTCTTATTAAATGGATATATTATTGCATAACATCTTGAGAAACACTCGGTAATAGAGATTACATGATTTGTACAATAAGAGTTTTTTTTTTTTTTTGAGCGAACGATCGTTTTTTATGCGATGGTTAACCATGCTCCAGTGATCGTGTACATAGTTGATTACATCACTGGAAATTATCTTTAGTTATTTCTTATGTCGGTCGAACATGCCTCCTATCGAAATCATGGAACGAATATGTTAATTTTATTCTTTATGAAATGGAAGGACAGATAATTCGACAAATTGCCGAAAACTTGAAGAAAAAAATGAACATTTCACTGGTTTCTTTAACACACCCTAAATATTTATCAATAATGATCAACCTTCAAAGAAACAGCATCTACTTCAGTCGACAAATTATACACTGGTATTCTCAGGAAGAACTAATTAAAAAACAATATATCTAATCCAGAAATTACATATTTAACCCTCCTGCACTGTGACGTAAGTGAACGTTTACATAAATGTACAGTGTTGAGTTTGCCTAAAATCGAGGGGTTATTCATTCAGGATATCATTGATGTTAATGCGAGAAATCACGTGAAAATCCGCTGAAATCGCTGTAAATCACCAAAACATTGTCACGTTTTTAAAGCCGAATGTTCCTTGTTATCGAATCAAATTGTTTTATCGCTTGAAATCAAAGGTAATCGGTTCATAAAGAAGGAAATCGTTTCCAGTTTTTCGAATGAATAACCCTTCGCCTAAAAAGTATTTATATATCGAGGGGTCATTCCTTTAGGAAATCATGGATTTTAATGCGAGAAATCACGTGAAAATCCGCTGAAATCGCTGTAAATCACCAAAACATTGTCACGTTTTTAAAGCCGAATGTTCCTTGTTATCAAATCGCATTGTTTTATCGCTTGAAATCAAAGGTAATCGGTTCATAAAAAAGGTCATAGTTTCCACAGATTTTCGAATGAATATCCCTTCGCGTAAAAAGCATATATATATATATCGAAGGGTCATTCCTTCAGGAAATCATGGATTTTAATGCGGGAAATCACGTGAAAATCAGCTGGAAATCGCAAGCAAAAATCGCTGGAAATCACCGAAACTTTGTCACAGTTTAATCGCCGATCGTTCCTCGTTACCTAATCATATCGTTATTTATCGTATGAAATCAAAGGCAATCGATTCTTAACGAGGGAAATCGTTTTCACTAATTTCCAAGTAAATGGTCCCTCGGTGTAAATACATATCGCGCAACGTTTAATGTGTAACACATTAAACTAATAAACAGAAACAGATATTAAGTCTCGGCATTCGAGTACATTTCATGCTCTCGGAAGGTAGCCGCGTCTACGTTAATGAATGCTACGCTAATGAATCACGTTTGATGTAACGCGTTAAATTAATAAACAGAAACAGATATTAAGTCTCGGCATTCGAGTACATTTCATGCTCTCGGAAGGTAGCCGCGTCTACGTTAGCCTGAATTTCGTTCCACCTACGTTCGGACGAAGTGCCGAGAGGAATCCCGCGAATTGGCAAAAAAGTATGGGGATTTATCCCGAGTTCGAAAGACTGGCCGGGTTTCCGCGCTTCCGGAGCAGCGGACGCACTTGCCCGGCTACGCGCCTGCAAGTGGGCCGGCGCGGTTGGACAAAGTAAGCGCGGGCAAAGCGAGGCGCGCATGCACGCGTGCTTTGATCGCGAGCGCGCGACTAACCGAGAGCGGAGTTTCGCCAGGCGAGGTGCACCGCGCGCGCCGGTGGGGCGAGTCGCGTGCGAGGGACCCGGCCCCGTAGCGAAGGGGCTCAGACAAAGGGACCCCCGCGCTCGATCGCCGATTTCCGCGAGCGGCCTGGCGCCGCCGCGGCAGAGATGGGCAAGGTCGCGGCCGGGCGTCACCGAGCCGAGTGTCGGCTCCTATTGTCCGCGGACGCGAGTCGCGTGAACATCTCGAGCTTGGCAAACCGAGTGGACGTCGCACATCTCGCGGGTTAAGGTGAGGTTAAATCTCCTCCAAATCAGTCGATTTGAATACAACACTTTTTTTTAAGGGTATTACACCAAACTGTCCGCGGGTTAAGGCGAAGTTAAATCCTCTTCAAATCAGTCGATTATAATACAACACTTTTTTTTAAGGGTATTAGACCAAACTGTCCGCGGGTTAAGGTGAAGTTAAACCCCCTTCAAATCAGTCCATTCGAATACAACACTTTTTTTTAAGGGTATTAGACCAAACTGTCCGCGGGTTAAGGTGAAGTTAAACCCCCTTCAAATCAGTCGATTCGAATACAACACTTTTTTTTTAAGGGTATTAGTCCAAACTGTCCGCGGGTTAAGGTGAAGTTAAACCCCCTTCAAATCAGTCGATTGGAATACAACACTTTTTTTTAAGGGCATTAGACCAAACTGTCCGCGGGTTAAGGTGAAGTTAAATCCTCTTCAAATCAGTCGATTATAATACAACACTTTTTTTTAAGGGTATTACACCAAACTGTCCGAAAGTTTTACACATCACTCCTGATCATCTAAGAATTGTCCTGACGCATTCAAAATTTGGATTTTTGAAAAAGATTGTTTAACTGAGCCTAGACCAGAACCAAAATGGCGTCGAGCTCTCATATTTCGATTAATATATAATTATCGAAGACTCTGATATGAGAATCGAAAGGGTCAGGACAATTTTACGACAATTTGGAACACTCTGGTAATCGAGAAACTCGCATTTGAAGGAAATTTCGATTAACATATAATTATCGAAGGCTCTGATATGAGAATCGAAAGGGTCAGGACAATTTTACGACAATTTAGAACACTCTGGTAATCGATAAACTCGCATTTGAACGGGATAAAGGCAAAAATAGTGTCTTATGCGCTTCTATGCTAAAATGATGGGAATACGAGGTCTTATATTGATTACGAATCTTGCGACTTCAAATAGCCGTTATCAGCCGTTATAAACAAACGTCAAATGCACATATATGCATACATTTGAAATATCCAAGACTGATTTCGAATGTGCGCGGATTTCTGTATGCGTAAAGCGCATTCCTCTTAATAGCCAATGAGAATCTCTCTTAGAGGTAAATAGGTGGAATCTCATTGGCTATTGATGATATCGCTTATGCGCTTTGCACGTTTAGTTTAGGGTAATATACTTCCTGTCCGCGTAGAAAACTCGGGACGTATAATACGTTGTGATATACGTGTAGAAAACCACGTATGCATTCACCACGTGGTGCATTCAGAGGAGACAACTGTTGAGTGATCGGTCACCGCTCATCTGGTGAATGGGTACGTTTACTCAACATGTTTACTGATCGGACCATTCTGATCGGGATGTTCAGCAGAAAATCCCAACATGTTCCCAACTCATCGGTAACCGGTTTTCCCTCTGAATGCACCCTTTACTAGAGTACGAAAATTCTCGGTAACATTAAATTGGAGAAGGTAACTGTGAAACATACCGTAAGTTACCGGGAACATTGAGAATTTAAGAGAACGTTAATTTTGTTATTTATACTTT